AACACCCCAAAAACACGACTCTCCAAACGCTAATCCCAATGGCACTGCGCAGCAAACTGCGGATCTCACAAAACGCTGCGCCTGTGCAGCGAAATGCATCACGTTCCTTGCGCGACATGTCGGTGTCATGCAAATCACAATGGAATAGCGACGCAAACTGACACGTGACACGTCCATGCAAAGTCCCTTGCAAAAGCTTCCCCCAGTGGCAGCAAATTTGAGACGCGACGACGACGACGACAAACGACCAGAGACGACGACAGACGACGAGAGACGACGACACGACACAAGCCACGCGAACACAGCTCCAACCCCCAGACCCCCAACTATAAACGGGAACCCTTCGCTACGCATTCGGGAAAAAAAAACGCTCTCATGCAACTTGTTTCTCTTAAGTGTCCAGGGGCCAAACCTTCGGCGAAGGTTCCGAAGGTTCCTCTGCCGAAACTTCATTTCATGCAGCTCTTCATCTGCCAAACCCCCTTGAGGCTTCCGGCCATGCTGCTGGCCATCTTGAAGGGCCAACATCCTGATTGGGCGCTTCGGCACGTCCGGTAAAAACGGATCGGTCGATCGGTGGACCCGCACCCACCCCGGTGGGCCAAGGCGGGCGTAGTGGCTCCGCAAAATTGGACCCGTAACCAATGGGTTCTCGGGGAGTATGATGGGATAGAGGATAGAGATGACTTGGACAATGCTTTTTGTTTTTCACAGAGTCCCAAGGAGATACAGATGTTGGATGAAGAGACCCGGTCATTTGAGTTGCCCCTCAAAACCATTTCGTGAGGTAGCACTGCTGAGGCCGTGGCAAAACATGCGAGGGTCATCAAGGGCAGATGATCTATAAATTCACCACGAACGCGCAGTGGAGGGATTGAAACACTTTCTGGCCAGAGAGTGTCGGCCATTTGATTGCGCAAGCTTGCAGATGCTATCTGAGGCCAGCAAGGAATCGGTCAAAAAGGCTTTGAACGCTTTGCGTCTTGGCAGCGGAGATTGGACATGGGGCAGTCTTATGGTTGGCATATTAAACCATCAGACACCATGGTTTATGGATGAGACACCTTATTAGACCATTTTATCAACCATGAAGACACCATGGGCCAGTCTTATGGGTGAGACTGGTGAGATGGACACTTTGTGTGTGTCTTCTCTTGTGTCGGTAAGTATTTCGTACCTATGTGACCAAGGCAAGAGGCACAGAACCTTTGGAGAGGCAGGGTGTGTTTGTACTGTACCGTCAAACAGGGCTTTTTGAAGCCACTTGACCTGAGTCATTGGCATGTTCATTCTTTTTCCATGCTTTGGGATTCCCACATAGTGTACCCCTGAAGTTTGGGTGATGTTTTTTTCAGCGATTTTTGGTGCCAGATGATCGTTTGGTGCCGGAGCTGGGGAAATATGGAAACATCTTCAAGAAGGACTTCCAGCTTTGGCTTTCCGATCCAAAAGCAGGCTGGCAGATTGCGGCACTTTATAGCATTTTAGTATTTAGTCGTCTTGGTGCTGGTGCTGGTGAATGGCATTAAGGTGGTTTGTCTACCTGTTGTTCAGGATCATGGCCAAACAAATTTTGGTTTCTTGACTGGTAAAGACACTAAAATGCATGTGAAAGCCCAGGAGTTCTTCTAAGGGCGATTAAATGTCATCAATGTCTGGTGCTGACCGGGCTTGCAATCCAAATCTCTTGGTGCTGCCTACCACCGCAGGACTTGCATAGAAACCTGCAGATGTTGCAGATGTGGGTTTCAGACATGTTTGTGCTGTATATGTTGCTGTGTCACAGTGGATGATTTGTCGGTTGCCTCTCCCGACCCACTGCACTTGCAGCACACGGTGCACACAGCACGGCTCTTTTTTTTCCGCAAAGCTTTGCTTTAGGCCGGGGACGGTAGGATTGACCTGTTCGTTAGTCGGATTTCCTCAGTCTTTCATCCTAAGTCTAACAAGTCCGTTTTTCACCGGCCGGTGAGTCCCCTGCGGCCCTGCCTGTAGTCCGGAATGGTGGCTTCGGCTATTGTGGGCGACCCTTGAGTCAGATTCTGGAGACGAGGCGGGGAAGACGGGGAAGACAGGGGGGCAGGCAATTTGGATGCAGGGTTGTAGCCGTCCTCGGAACCTGGACTGCCACTCTGGAGAGCACATGAGAGCACGGTTGTTGTTCATGGTGGAACATGGGTTCATTTCGGACCAATGGCCTGTGGTGAGGAAACCACTGAACCATGCTTCATGCAAACCAGAAGTGTTGGCTTGTGACTTGTTACTCTATAGAAGAACTCGTGCTGCTCGTGGCTCTTCATTCCAACAGGCTGAATGTGTCCTTGAGGAACCTTAAGTAATTGATGGAGAGGTGAATCAGAATGGAAGCTGTTAGAATAATTTGGAAGATGCAAGTCCATCTCTTTGCTCCACACCTGCACTTACTGAGCTGTAGGGGTTCACGGAGCTAGTCTATGAGATCCAGCAAGCGAGAGTGATTCAGAAGAACGTTTTGCGCATGTGCTCCTGCGTTTCTACACGCTCTACTCTTGCTGCGACCTTGCACATCGGAACTAGTGAGTGGGTCCTGCAACCTCAGACCTCAACCTAGCTGCAAGATGCTGCAAGCAAATCATCTTCGCATGGCTTTGAACTGGGCTTTATTAGTTGTTATCCCTACGGATCCACATACCTTCTCAGAAGGTACTTCCACCCTCCAAAACTGTATGTTTTTGTATCTCCAATCACCTTCTCAGGAGAAGGTATGTGGATCCATAGGGTAGGACCACTTCAATAGGGTCCGGCCGTGGCTGTAATGCACCCGATCCACCCCTCCGCCGCAGGTGGTCGGATCTTGGAGCTGAGCAGACCGAGGAGTCCGTGGATATACATCATATATATATATATACAATACATTCCATTATATAGCACTCATGAGATGGGTGATATGTTGGGCCTGTCCCAGGTTGACCTGTAGAGACGTCAGGTTTCACAGGATTCACACGCAAGTAAGACCAATTATGTTGGGGACCCAACCAGTCTCATAGACACCGACGGCGGAACAAACGACCGTTATGGGGACTGTTATGGTTCACAGATCGACGGAACAGGCGACACCGCTCTGGCAGCAAAATTGGACAACGTCACCAGGTAAGACTGAGAGAATCAGTTTTGAAATGTTTTGAACGCTTGAAGGGGCCACGCAGGCGCACCACCTTCACTAGGCTGAATGTGCGAGTTCCAGACTCTATTTGAGGGCCCTATGGATTCACATTCCCTCTGAGAAGGTGATTGCTGACAATTTTGATATTTGTTGATGATTTATGTAGGTTTGGAGGGTCCAAGTACCTTCTGAGAATGTACGTGAAGGCCCTATCGGTTTATTTATCCCAGTGGATCTAGTTGACTATGCTAGGTAATCGTTGACCGAACAAAACCCTGGTTCCTAGGGATCCGCTCACTTCGTATCTTTCGGCGAATCCATCCTTCAGCCCGTGCAGTCTGCAGATCTCTCACCGGTCTACAGCCGCAGGAGCTGTTGGTGCGCCTGGCAGAGGCTTATCCGATGCTGAAAGACCACAGCTCAACGAACTCCGTGGAGATCCCGAACTCCGTGTCCTTCGACAAAGGCGGAGCGGGGCGGATCGGGGCGTAACTTCGAAGGGCAGCCCGTAGACTGGCCGACTGGCCGACTCACCATGTGTTTTCTATGAGAATGGTAGAAAAAGAGGAAGTGTGGATAGGCCAATTGATTGGCCCCATGTCTTTGTTAATTAGTTTGCCCCCCAAAGCCCCAATCCTTAAAACGCAGAATGGACCATTGGTAAGTTCGCGATCAGCGAGCTTCTTTAGGTTCCATTGGTGCTGTCCAAGGTTTAAAGAGGCCACTGGCTAATCAAACGGCTTGAGCAACATGCCCAAAAAGTGTCTCAAGGTCCAAGGTTTGTTTAAATATGTTGTCTCTTTCCAGATCCTTGAATCCTTCTGGTTCCTGCCACCTCACACCCTGGTCAAAGACCACAACTTCGTAGTGAACCTCACCAGCTGTCACCAGCTAGGCCATAGTCCGGCCATAGTCACCAGGACTGCCTTTGAAGTCCGTTTTCTTCGCACCAAACGACGCACACCGCGCCACCCAACCGCGCCACCAGGTGCCTCGGCGCTGGTGAAGGCCAACGTCTTGGCGGGGCCCTGGGGATTCGTCTCGGATTCCGAGGACATGGAGCGGCTCGGCGGCGGTTTACACCACGGGTGAGCGGCGAGAATGACGACCTGGAATGACTCTGTTTTGGGGATTTATCAGAAAAACGGTGTATGACCTGTTCAGGAGCCTGTTTTTAGTGACCAAGTTTTGGGCGTTTGGAGTGAGCTGTTTTGGCTCGACCTTGCGGATTGGGCTGTTGGACCGCGCAAGTTCCAGCCCGTTTTGTCTGCTGAAATGATTGGAACATGGAAGGACCTAAACTGGCGTCGCTGACCATGCGATTGGGTCCACCATGGGTGACCAAAGTCAGACCAGGTATGACTGACTCGTTGAGTCTCGTTCCGCGGTGCACGTCGCACCTCTTCTTGTGAGTGGCGACGTTCTCTAGAGGGTCCGCCATGGATTCTATGGGTTTGATTCAGACCCCACTCACCAAGCTCAGCTCCACCATTTCCAGATCTATCGTGCGGAGGTGTTCTGGTGAAAGGAGGGACCTCGCAATGAACTGAACCCTATACTTCGCATGTTTGTCACGAATGTATGATATGAGTGCTCTATGGAACAAGCTCGATAGACGACGTTTCAATTACCATTTACATTTATTTATGCAATGTGTACAGGCTAAATTTTGTCAAATCCTCACATATCTCCAAAAGACTCAACAGGGGAAACCCATTCAATCATTTCAGAGACAAGCTGGCATGCCTGCGCATATGCCTGCGCATGCCTTTGAATGTTTGGATGATGTTTGCTCTGAAACAAAGGGGGCCCGATCTGGCACTGAGGTGGGATGGTGTGTACGATCCTTATTTGCTCGCCCGAAGGCCACAGGAACGCGCTGCTGAACGCAGTGCGGAACGCAGAGATCCGTAACGCGAGGATCGTCGGTTGCTATCGACTGAGCAGAGTTTTTGATAGTTGTTTGTTTTTTAGATGTAAAGATTTAGATGAGAGGTAACCTGCAAATGGTTGGATGTACTCATTCGGCTTGGGGCGTAGGCTGGCGTAGGCATGTTGTGCATTATTTTTGCTGCAGAAGCCGCGTAGGCGACGAATTGCGCAGCCCGTGGGTCATGCAGATTCATGCAGGAAGACTTTAAGTCTATGTGTGTATGAGCATGACTTCTCAATATTTCAGATGCTACTTGGATAGGAGTAGCCAAGATAACTGCAAAACCAAGATTCAGTGGCCAATGGAATAGAGAACCATGAGACATACCACATGTTGTGTATGAAGCACTGGCTCTTGAAAACCACAGCCATACTTGCCAATGAAGAAGCCCCGCCACTACTACTACTGCTGCTGCTGCTACTGCTACTGCTACTGCTACGACCACCACCACCACCAGTACTACCACCACCACCACTACTACTACCACCACTACTACCACCACAACACCAGACTCTTTCTCTCTTTTTCTTTGGATTTGCTCTTTATTAAACGGGACGATTGGACGAAGGATTTGGAGATGTCATGTGCCATGAGGGATCAGCTTGTGTTTGCGTGGTTCAATCTGTGATGTGTACGGTACATTGAACAGTGCTGTGCAGGGTTTCGGACCTGCATAGGACGTACCCGGACTCAAGAGCTCCTGAAGGGTCTAGAGCAGGGTGGTCCTTGATCCTTGAGAACCGTGACCCCATCGCAGGCGGCTGAATCGCCCTCCACGCGCGAAGATGAAGAGCTGCTTGGTGATGCACTCGAGATCGGAGTTTCAACGGGGTTCTGTCCACGTTCAGTCAACGCTTCCACGCTCTTTTCGAGTGGGGAGTTTTGCAGTGGTTTTCAGGGTTTGGTTTGGGTGGGGGCAGGGCTTTGCTGATCAATATGCGATGTAATTAGTCACAGTGGGTTCAACTGTTCAACTTGATTTCCAAGTCCAGGGGATAGGCATCAAAAGGTTTGATCATCACATCAGCACACACCACATCAACACAGCAATTGTCATCGTATGCAACACATAACAAAGCAGTTTTGACTGGGGCTACCTTGAGTTTGTCTTACAAGGCAAGTGTTGGGTCGTCAGTGTCTAACAACCGATTCATCAATTCACACCCCTGCCGCGAAAGGCAATTCTTTACCCTCCCTCCCTTTGCATGGGTTCAACTCATGCTTGAATTGATCGTTCAATGTGTAACATTCCCCCCCTTTCGAAGGGAGATCTGATCTGCAGGGAAGCATCAAATCAGACGCGGAAATAGATTCCCTTGTCAATGGCACGGCGCGTGGGGCATCTGCCGCAATGCTGCGCATAGGGCATCGCCCGCTGCCGCCGTCCTGTTCGCACTTTTTTTGTTCCAGCTCGTTGTCAGGTTGTCATCCCCTGGTACCCATAAGCCAGAGTTCCACCACAGCACATCCAAAGTTTCAAGCATTCACAAGTTTGGATCACGCTACTTTTTGGGGGCTTGTTCGGGATCCGCTCGCCGCCTCGCTGTCGTTGTGTTAGAGAGACTTACTCGTCGTCTTTTTGTTCGTGTGTGTTCGTCCAGCGAAGAGGGTGCCAGTCGGTGCTGATGCAGTGGAGGACGCTCCACTGTGTACCTGCGAGAATTTTTGAGAAAGCTGTGACTCCAGTTCTCCATTTTTTGGTTCATGGTCCTTGCACGATACCTCCCCAAAACCTTTTCCTGCCGATGAGCCACGCCGTTCGTTTTGCCACCGCCGTGTCGTGAGCTGTAGATGTGCGTAAACCTTTGTTTGTCGCGAGCTGTAGATGTGCGTAAACTTGAGATTTTTCTAGCCACAGACTGGGTCAGCTCCAGTTGAATTGTTTCGCATTTTTTTGCTTTTTTTTATGCACTCTGATTTCCCATTGTTTTTGATGTTTATTTTTTTTGCTGTTTTTTTGGCGTTCTGTTTTGCTGTTTTTTGGCTGTTTTTTACTGTGTTTGTTCAATGTTTTTCTTTTTTGGGCTCCCCTGCTTGCAGCGCTTGCAGCAGCGCAGAGTTCTCACACTTGTACCAGTGAGGCCAAGAGCATTGGCAAGAGCATGTAAAAATCATGAGTAGAACATGTGGCAACGCTTTTTCTTTATGGCAATAATCCAGTAGCCCCCTTGTATATAGATGCAATGTATGCTCAGTAGTAGTTCTTAGTTGCCCTATGCAGTGGCCCTACTACCAGGAATACCCAACACCAGCCGTCCACATAAAGCAAAAACTCTGCCTGGCATCCCCTGTGGTGTTGACTCATCCTCAAAATCTAGAATGGCAAAAGAATGGCACACTGTTTGACAACCAAAACAACCAAAGTTTTGAAATTGCAAAAAATGGCAAATCTCTGTAAACCACCAAATTGCAGGAATAGCAAAAAATGGCAAAAACTCGAGGATTTGCATTTTTTTGCCATTCCAATTTGCCATCCCCCATGCCATGCCCAAAGGGAACCCCAATTCCACCAAGCGTTGTTTTGGCCATCCCTCCTTTTGTCTAATCTAATCCTTCCAACCAATGCAGGTCCTGTTGTTTCGGTTGTCTGGGATGACCGGTTGCGGCAGCCTGTCCCAATGTCTCCGAAATGAGAGTTGCCTTCCCAGATGTTCTTTACACTGAAGAGCAAAGATAAAGAACAAACCACATGGATGCAAACCCGCTTTAACGCAACCAGCAACAAACACAAAGGACGTACTGTTGAAATCACCCACCAAAGCCACAACTCAATAACAATACAACACTTTTTCCTCAGCAAAGGCGTCAGGCAGCAAAATCCACAATACCAAAAAAACACAAAAAATGCAAATGCAAAATGCCAAAAAATAGCAACAAAATAACGATAGCAAAAAAACAGCAAATGCAAACAGCAAAAAACAAAAAACAGCAAACAATTAATTCATTGATTTCCAATCTCTGGCTGGCAAAGAATCTCATAAGCGTAAACCTTTGTTAAACAAAACTTTTCTGCGGACCTTGCCACCTTTCTGTTCCATCGCTTTTTTCGACCTGGGAACTGAGTTAACTGCAAACCCAATATCAAAGTGTGTGCTGCTGTGCCGTCCCACGTGGGTGCACAGTGTGATCCCCGTCACTGGGGCGCTGATTTCATGCCGGATTACCACTAACTGACTTTACTGCTTTCTGCACTCGTTTGGATTATCTTAACCGATTTTCGTTTCACTACTGTATTCTCAAAAACAAAAGCCGCCGGGCTTCACGGAAACTCAAAGCCGCCGGGCTTACGGAGAATTAGAGTGTTAGGTAGTCATACACACACACGGACACACACACACATGTTACATACATCCCCTCCCTACCCTCCACTTTCTTTCTTGCGCTTTTCGTCGTTTGTTCTTTTGGCCTTTCTCTCAGGCTTTTTAGGTGGTTCTTGAGGCCCGTTCCCCTACCCCAGTCAAGGGCTAAGTATTCACTTTTCGCTACTCCTATCTTTCTCTCCTGCCCTTTTAAATTTTAGCGCTGCTCTTTCTGTTTTCTTTCTTTCTTTTCTAAGGCTTTTTAGCTGCCTATTCAGGTTTTTACGCCAGAGCGCCGCAAAGCGGCTGAGTGTGTGTGTCACACTCTGTTTCCAAGAGTTTTCAACACGCAGGGGGACGGGACACCACTGGCACCGCCCGTCCAACGAAGAGGGTGCCAGTCGGTGCTGATGCAGTGGAGGACGCTCCACTGTACCTGCGAGAATTTTTGAGAAAGCTGTGACTCCAGTTCTCCATTTTTTTGGTTCATGGTCCTTGCACGATACCGCCCCAAAACCTTTTCCTGCCGATGAGCCGCGGCGTTTGTTTCGCCACCGCCATATCGTGAGCTGTAGATGTGCGTAAACCTTTGTTAAACAAAACTTTTCTGCGGACCTTGCCACCTTTCTGTTCCATCGCTTTTTTCGACCTGGGAACTGAGTTAACTGCAAATATCAAAGTGTGTACCGTTGGTTACACTGGGCAAAATGGAAGAGGGGTCTTTGGGTGGACCCTTGGAGACTTCAACGTAAACACGGACCACGATTGAAATTCAAAACAAAGCCCGCCTTATGTTACATATGTTGAAATGTCCACCAATCCTTGCGCCCTTTGTTGGGTGTCCCAACGTGCTGTAAATACCGGCATGTCAGGAATATTGTTTGGTTGATCTTGATCATTTTGTTGATCTTTTCACCCTGATTACAGATTAAATCATACATCTAACGCTCCTCCATTTGCTGGGGATGTCACAGTGGCACCAAGTGCTTGGGGACTTCTAGAGTGATTATGGGTCGAGTCTTCGATCACTCAACTCCGGTCCCGGCTGAGATTCTCCCGAACCCTTCAGGTGCAGACCTCAAGGGGATGCTTTGTGGGCTCTTGCAAACAGTCAACGAGCTCACCCAGGCGAATTTGGGATCGAAATCGCCTTTGCGGCGTTTGCGGGCTGCTGGGCGGTGCGGTGGTTTTTTTGTTGGCAGTCAGTGAAGCTGCTGGAGGGAAGATGCGAAGGTGAGGATGTTAAGTCATGCTAGAACATTCTGAGAATTGTGATTAGTGATGTGCATGATCGGTTTAGTGTTAGACATTCGAGATATTGGTTTCTGGGGAGATACATGGGCCCTGTGCTAAGATGGGCATTGGCGACCACATGCGATGTTTTTTGAGCTCACTGGTAATCAAAGGACTCTTTGCATGGGCGCCCCGAAACTCATGAATCTTCTCACCAAGCGTGCAAAGATCAGCCTTTTTGTTGCTGGTTGAGTCTCCTTTGATCGTCCGAGATGGACTTGATACTGTGGGGGTGTCCCACAAAAGTGATCCCCTTGGCCCAACTCAGGGGTGGCCTGGCATTTGTTCCTTCGGACGCAAGGGGTGAGGAGGAGTTTTCGGTAATGTTTTGGCATTTTGTTCATGCATGTGTTAATGATAATGTTCATGCTCAAATGACTCATGTTTGTTGTTGTTGTTGTTGTTGTTGTTGTTGTTGTTGTTGTTGTTGTTGTTGTT